TCCGGGATTCTTTGGGAATTCTGGGAATTTTTTTGGGAATTCCGGGATTTTTTTGGGGATTTTTCCGGGAATTCCGGGATTTTTCCGGGATTTTTCCGGGATTTCCCCGGGAATTTTTCCGGGATTCTTTGGGAATTCTGTGGGATTTTCTGGGAATTCCGGGATTTTTCCGGGATTTTTCCGGGATTTTTCCGGGATTTTTCGGGAATTCTGTGGGAACGCAGGCCCGGCTGGTGGCCATGGCTCACGACAAAGAGCCCGAGGTGGCCCTGGAGGTTCTGGAGCTGCTGACGGAGATGGACAGGTGGGAAAAACGGGGGAAAAGTGGGAAAAAATGGGGGAAAAACAGCGGGAAAAACAACGGGAAAAGTGGGAAAAACAATGGGAAAAAATGGGAGAAAAATGGGAAAAAATGGGGGAAAAAATGGGAAAAACAACGGGAAAAACAACGGGAAAAATGGGAAAAACAGCGGGAAAAAATGGGGGAAAAATGGGAGAAAAATGGGGGAAAAAATGGGAAAAACAACGGGAAAAACAACGGGAAAAACAGAGGGAAAAGTGGGAAAAAAATGGGAAAAACAGCAGGAAAAACAACGGGAAAAAATGGGGGAAAAATGGGAAAAACAGCAGGAAAAACAGTGGGAAAAGTGGGAAAAAATGGGGGAAAAAATGGGGGAAAAAATGGGAAAAACAACGGGAAAAACAGTGGGAAAAACAGCACAAAAAACAATGGGAAAAGTGGGAAAAAATGGGGGAAAAATGGGAAAAATAGCGGGAAAAACAACGGGAAAAACTGGAGAAAAATGGGGGAAAAGATCTGGGGGGAAAAAAGGGAAAATCTGGGAGAAAAATGGGAAAAAAAAGGGGGAAAAACCAGAAGAAAGTCTGGGAAAAACAGGGAAAAAATGGGAAAAAAACCTGGGAATTTTGTAGGAATTTTGGGGTAATTCTGAGGGAATTTTGGGATAATTTTTGGGGAATTTTGGGATAATTTTGGGATAATTTTGGGATAATTCTGCGGGAATTTTGGGATAATTTTGTGGGAATTTTGGGATAATTTTGGGGGAATTTTGGGATAATTTTTGGGGGAATTTTGGGATAATTCTGCTGGAATTTTGGGATAATTTTTGCAGGAATTTTGGGATTTTTTTAATCCCGGGATTTTTATCCCAAAATTCCCAATTAAAAAACCCCGGGGAGGGAATTTGGGCGCGGCCCCTTTAAGAGCGGAATTCCCGAGGCTCCATCCCAAATTCCTGAGCTCAGAATTCCGGGAATTGGGAGGGAAAAAACCCGGGAATGGGGGGAGGGGAGAGCCCCGAATTCCCGGATTTTGGGGGGAAATTCAGGAATGGGGGCTCTGGGAGCCCCGGAATTCCCGGAATTCCCGGGAATCCTTAGGAAATCCTGGAATTTCTGGGAATGGAGGGAAAAAAACCGGGAATGGGGGGAGGGGAGAGCCCCAAATTCCCAAATTTTGGGGGGGAAATTGGGGAATGGGGGCTCCGGAATTCCCGAAATTCCCGGAATTCCCAAAATTCCGGAGGAGAAGGGGTCGGGAATGGGGGGGAGGAGCCGGAATTCGGCCCCAGGGATTGGGAATTTGGCTCCAGGGGGCCCCGAAATCCCGGGATTTTTTGGTGGGGGGGTTTTGGGGGATCCCGGGGATTTTGGGAATTCCGGGAATTCCGGGAATTCTGGGAATTCCCGGCGTTGCAGGGCTCTGGAGGAGGCGCTGTCGGCCGAGGATTGCCGGAGCGTTTTCCCCGTGGTTTTCGTCTCCAGCCGCGCCCTGGCCACGGCGGCCGGGAAATTCCTGTTCCACAGGTGAAAATTCCCGGAATTCCGGCCCCAAATCCCGGGAATTCCAGCCCAAAAATCCCGGGAATTCCAGCCCAAAAATCCCGGGAATTCCCAGCCAAAAATCCCGGGAATTCCCAGCCCCAAATCCCGGGAATTCCCAGCCAAAAATCCCGGGAATTCCCAGCCAAAAATCTCGGGAATTCCGGCCCCAAATCCCGGGAATTCCAGCCAAAAATCCCGGGAATTCCCAGCCCCAAATCCAGGGAATTCCAGCCAAAAATCCCGGGAATTCCAGCCCCAAATCCCGGGAATTCCCAGCCAAAAATCCCGGGAATTCCAGCCCTAAAATCCCGGGAATTCCCAGCCAAAAATCCCGGGAATTCCAGCCCAAAAATCCCGGGAATTCCCAGCCAAAAATCCCGGGAATTCCCAGCCCCAA